ATTTTCAATTCAAATTCTTTAGATATTGGGGTAAAATTTTGTAATAGAATTTATATATTTAGAAATTGCATCAAATGCTTTATAAACGAGAGTTGGGTTGACTACAGCAACAACCCAGTTGAACCCCACAAGAGTGGGGCCTGGGGAGGGTGTGTGTATGCATACCTTACCCCTACTCGAAAGTAGAGAGGTTGCTTCCAAAGAGACCCCCGGCTCACGTCGAAAGTTGCATTGATTGACTAACTGCTACTTCATTAATTAAAGAAGAGCAAATAGTTTAGAGATCCATTTTGCTTTATTCCATCACACCCCAAAACCAAAAAATAGTGTATTCTTGGCTCCATCGGAGATGGTGGAAATGAGAGTTTGGTTGACTATGTTCATTTATTGATTAAAAAAAATAGGCAACGAAATAAGATATAGTTTGATCTTTGAATAGTGCACCATGCCACCCATTTGGTGATGGAGGGGGTAGTTGCTATTTTTTTATTAGATTCATTAACTATGAATTTTTAGGCATGGCGCAAGGAAAGTCAAGCCATCAAAGTTGAGTCAGGCTGTTAATGAAAGGCACATGCCTAGGCCCACATTTGCGCTTTATGCGCAGAACTTTTCTTCATGTCTTTCTTTTACTCTTCCATTTCCCAAAAAAGCTCTTCCCCTTTCTTGTGGATCTAATGGCTAACTTCTCAAATTACTACCCCTGCGGATCAATAGATTTTAAAATCTGTTAATTTGACCTAAGTACTTAATTTACTATGAACAGATTGTATTGCTATCTTTTTATTTTGAGGCGTTAACTCTTGTTTTCATTCATATTTGTGATACTCATTTCCCTCTATTAAATCACTTGGTTTTGAGATCGCTGACGATGCTTTAAATAGTTAAAGCCAATAAAGTACTCCAGTTTTTAGTATTTTGTTAAGATATCTACTTTGTACATTGAGCTTGCATAATAATTGCAAATGGAAAAATTCAGTAACAGAAGAGTTAAGCAATGTGTTTAGTTATTATGAGGTTATAGGTACTCCGTAATACTTAGCTATAAATCTATAATTGCAAATGGTAGGCATTTGTGTAATACTTAGGTGCAATTTAATCAGATAATCCTTTGAAGTCTTGTTATCCAAAATGATTTTACCTGAGGAAGGGGTAGCTTTTCAAGATTGTGAGCCGTAGGAATCTTGTTCTTTTATCCTTTAATGGTAGGTTAACAAGAAATCCATGTCAACTGTTAGTAAATAAGTATCACCTGCGAGATGATGTTTGAAAGTAGAGGTTAAAATTTATACTTGCTATACATTTATTTCTTTATTAATTTATTAGATTGGATTTACTACAAACGTTTAGAGATGCGATCACTTGTTAGGGGTGAATTCTTATGTGGTTATCTGAGTAATGTTGCCATAGTGGTGAAAGGCACTGGCACGCGGTAAATCCCATCATAGATGTTGAGTCAAGCGATAAATGAAAGGTGCATACGCACTGGTGCTTTATGTGCTTAAGTCTTGTTTTCCAAAATTATTTTACTGGGGGAAAGGGGAAGCTTTGCATTATCGTAAGCCGTATGAATCTTCTTCTATTATTCCTATAACGGTAGATTAACAAGAAATCAATGCCAACTGTTAGTAGTTAAGTATCACATGTTTAAATAGAGCACACACATAATTCTCATTTGACTTTTACTCCGTAAGTAAAGAAATTGAGTTTCCCTGGAACACAATCAGCTACTCTTTCAGCCTTTTGGATAAGTGGGGGTGAAGGAGGCTCTATTTGCGATGTTTGGGACATTGCGCAAGGGCTTTGAGTCTCCTCTTCATATTTGAGTAGTGGAAACTGTGAAAAAACATTATATCACATCCCATCTGATGGCAGAATCTTGTTCCATCACATTCTGTTACCTTCTGTTATCTGTCTCTGTCTCTCTCCCCCTTGCTTCCATGTTTTTCTCTATGTATCTTTTGATGAAATTTGTAACAATAACCCAGCTAGATCCCACGCGAGTAGGGGCTGGGAGGGTGTGTGTACGCTGATCTTGCCCCTACTCGAAAGTAGAGGATGAAATTTATTGTTGCTATTTATTTATTTACTACGTATTTATCTATTATATTGGATTAATACAAATGTTTAGGTATGCGATCACTTATTAGGGGTGATATCTTATGTGTTTATCTGAGTCATGTTGCCATAGTGGTGAAAGGCACTGGCACATGGTAAATCCCATCATAGATGTCTAGTCAAGCATTGAATGTAGGTGCTCATTAGCACTTTATAGGCAGAATTGAAGTCTTGTTTTCCAAAATAATTTTACCCGGGGGAGTGGCAGTTTTGCTGGATTGTAAGCCGTATGCATCTTGTTTAATATTCCTATACTGGTAGATTAACAAGGAATCCATGCCAACTGTTAGTAATCAAGTATCACCTGCCAGATGATGTTTGGGACATTGCGCAAGGGCTTTGAGTCTCCGGTAGTGGAAACTGTGAAAAAACATTACTGTATATCACAACCCATCTGATGGCAGACTCTCATTCCATCACTTTCTGTTACCTTTCATTATCTCTCTCCCCCTCCCTTGCTTCCATATCTTTCTCTATGTATCTTTTGATGAAAGTTATAACAACCCAGTTGGATCCCACATGAGTAGGGTTTGGGGAGGGTTTGTGTGTAGTCAAACCTTGCCCCTACTTGAAAGTGGAGGATGAAATTTATAGTTGCTATTTATTTATTTATTTATTTTTGTACTTATTTATTTATTTATTAGATTGGATCACTTATCACTACAAACGTTAGGGATGTGATCACTTATTTGGGGTGGCATCTTATGTGGTAATCTGAGTCATGTTGCCATAGTGGTGGAAGGCACTGGTGCACGGGAAATCCCATCATTGATGTTTATTCAAGCCATGAATGAATGGCACATGTCTAGGTGCGCATTAGCGCTTTATGTGCAGAATCGAAGTCTTGTTGCCCAAAATGATTTTACCCGGGGAAGGGGCAGCTTTTCCGGTTTGTAAGCCATATGAATGGCGTTCTATTATTCCTATAATGGTAGATTAATCGTGGAAACTGTTAGTAATTAAGTATCACTTGCCAGATGATGTTAGGGACATTGCGCAAGGGCTTTGAGTCTCCACTTATCATTTGTGTAGTGGAAACTGTGAGAAAACATCATATCATATCCCATCTGATGGCACTCTCAATCCATCACTTTCCGTTACCTCTCTCTCTCTTCCTGTTTCTATGTCTTTCTCTATGTATCTTTTGTGAAATTTATAGTTCCTATTTATTTGTTTATTTATTTATTTATTAGATTGGATTACTACCATCGTTTAGGGATGCAATCACTTATTAGGGGTGACATCTTATGTGGTAATCTGAGTCATGTTTCCATGCTGGTGAAATACACTGGCACACGGTAAATCCCATGGATTATACTACATGGAATGTTTCTAGCACAGCGGTTTAAATTACCCCCAATCAATCTTATATAAATTTGGCAGCTGTAAATTGGTTGTTGGAAATAACAGAATCAAAATAGGGTTTGATAGTGGTATTAATTCTTGTCTCAGGTCTCTTGTTCTTCGTTCTTTGGAAATTCTCCTTTTTACTGGTGTGAGCTCTCTTTTTCTCTGTTTTTCGTTTAGCTCTTTTTCTTCATGTCATTCTTTATACTCTTTTATTTTCCAAAAAAGCCATTTCTTCATCTCTCGTCAGCATTTGTTGGAACTAATGGCTAGCTTCTCAGATTTTACTCGCTGTCCTTCTGAAATAAAATGGATATTGATAGGTCTGTTTTTCAATTTTAATATCCTGCAGGCCAGTAGATTTCAGGATCTCTTCATTTGACCTAAGTACTTAGTTAACTGTCCACTGATTGTATTGCAATCTTTGTATTATTAGGTGTGTGTGTGTGTGCATGTTTTTTTTTTTGAAACAAATGCATGTCTTCATTCCACCACAAAGAAACTGATTACAGCCTTAACAAACTAAACAAGATAGCAATACAGTTAGCTACTTAGCTCTATAACAATTAGCAAACAAAACGCCTACTCAGCTTTCATCTTTTTCCCATCCCCCAATATGTAGCTACATGGTAAAGGACCCATCTAAACATGTCCTCTTCCTGTGTGTTTTCCTTTTTATGATGATGTTTGTTCCTTGCCTTCCCTATGATATAACAAACAGCAGCATAACTGCTGATACCTTGCTGCCTTCTCTTCCCCTTTAGCTTCATAAGGTTGTCCCTAATCTCTTTCACACTCCCACCCTCAATGTGTCATCTCAACCAGTTAGAGACTCTCTTTAATAAGGCTTTAGTAACAAGGCAATTGCTGAATATCTGGTCAATTCATGACAAAGTAGGACATTATGGACCAGATTTCTCCCTTTACAAAGGCCCCTTGATTCTGGTTCACAATAGTAGGAAGAATAGCCTTTAATTTACTGCATGGTATTTTAGAGATAACTTTGTAAATCATGTTACAACAAGCTATAGGTCTATAATCATTGGCCAAAATTGGTGCTTCAATTTTTGGAATCACTGATAGTGTAGTTGAGTGATTTCCTTCAAAAATTTACCAGAGGTAAAAAACTCCTATATAGCTCTAGTGATCAGCTCCCCTACCACTTCCCATTGGCTTTTAAGAAAACCACTGCCTGGACTTTTACATTTTGGTATTCGAAATGAAGCTTCCTTCACCTGTTCACCTTCAACTTCAGCTTTGATATTTGTGATAGTCATTTGATATTTGTTCCATTCATATTTGTGATAGTCATTTGATATCCATTCATATTTGTGATAGTCCCCTTGTACTTTTTTTCCATAACCTGAAAAATAAGTGTGAGCTAGCACTGGTGAAGACTACAAAACAGAGACATATATTTAGTTATTGCTTGGCTGTTAATTTTTTAAAATGGGAACTGGATAATCTCTTGATCAATAGGGAGGAATTAAAATTGGCTGCTAAATTTGAGAATCCAAGGGTCTTTGTTTTTTCAGGGCACATCAAATGAAACATATCGTGAAAATATTTACAATCTTGGTCGCTGTATCTTCCCTTTGGATGTGGTTGCTTAAGACGGCTGTTTTTCCAGAAAGTTATACTTGGTTGGTAAGAATAGTTTCCTCTTCTTGCTCACCACTTTAGTCTAATCATTATAACCCAAAGACCTAAGTTGGGTTATTTTTTTACTTCTCTGCCAGCTGCCAATTTATTTCATCGTGTCGCTAGGGTGTTATGGATTAGTAATGGTTGGAGTAGGCCTTATGCAGTTCCCTACTTGTCCCCAAGAGGCAGTTCTTTTACAGCAGGTAAGAGTTTACTTTCGTTTTTTTTGAAGAGGTTAGGGCATGTTCTCTTCGTGTGATCTGATTGTAGTTAAATTTGTAGTTGTTTCGGATCAAATATGAACAAGTAATAATAATAATTTGAAGAGAACATGCTCGTAGTCAAAGGTATGAAAACAATGTTTAGTTCAATGGGGAGGTGGAAACGGAAATATACTAAATAAAACTCTGTTATAATTTTTGTATTTGATGTAATTTTCAATGCAATTTAAAATATAACGCCATCTCTAAATAAAACACCACTTTGGCCTAGAGAATGAAAAATGTGGTTCAGATTTATGTAGAAGAGAGGAAACAACATGAATGAAATAATGCTTCCGTTTTAAAGGAATGGGCGTGTTTCAGAATGATAGGGAATGCTAATAGATTTAGACAGGTGGAGTAATATATTGAAACAAAAGTGATTTATTTGTACAAATAAGGCAGAACATAATCTATTATTTCTTTTAAAAAACCAATTTTCCAATAAGCCTCCAAAATAATCCTGTAACCAACGCAGGTTTTGTGCCCAACATATATTGCAATTTTTTTCTTTCTTTCTTTTACACTATGTTTGGGAGGAATTTGATTTTCTCTCCTCTTAGTAATATTTGTCTTCCCATTTACTTTTCTCTCCTTTTCTTTTCTTTTTCTCTTTAACCAAACAAGAAAAATCATTTTCCATCTCATTTTCTTTTCTTTTCCCTTTCACATTTTTTCGAACCAAACATACATTTAGTTGGTCATGTGCAATGTGGATATGTACTAATTTTGCAGTCATGTTTTGTAGGACATTGTTGAAGCCCAGACCTTCCTGAAGACAAGAGGAGTTGATGTTGGTTGATCCATGGCAACTGCCCAACATTTCCTTTTCTTCTTATATGAGAGAGTTTGCTTTATCTTGTGAAGCTTTCCACTTTCCTGCACAATGTTTTTAATTGATAAAAATGATGATTTATATAGCTGGTGATGGGGCATGATACAAATATATATATTTTAATTTTTTTTAATGATAATGATGATTTGCAGTCCCACACAAGGAGGGCAGGTTGCAGTAAAATTCATGAATGACTTTCTTGACATAAAACTCAGGTAGAGTGATTAAAATCCATGATCTTATTCTCTCTTTTTTTTGGACTTGAATTTCTAAGTCCTTGGAGGCTTTCACAAGGGGACTCAGCAAATTACACATCATCACAAGCATTGCAATTTACAAGTATACCAATAGCTAATACACATATCATTATGTTATTAGAGTACATAAAACGGGATGGAATGATTCACTTTTATGTTGTCCCGGTGATTCCCCCGCTAAAATTAAGACGGAATGAGTTTGGGAAAAATGAATTCCAAATAAAATGGTATAATTTCAAAATGGTCTGGAACCTCCCGGAATGGGTCAATGGGAGGAGTGTGTTTCATGCCCATCCCTAGTATATATGAGAACATGTGTTATGGATTTGAATCCATCGGGATGTGTAAAATATAGAATATAATATTGGACAATAAATATAATAAATATAAATAATATGATAAGCACATGATATTCACATGATAGTCCAAATCGGGAGAAAATCACATGTCTTTTTTGGTAGTACCATGTCAAGGGTAATGTTATTTTATAGATCGGGAGTACTTGTACAGTATATTGGCGTGATAGCCATTGATAGAGCTGGGAGCCCTATGAAGAATTTAGTGAACATTGAATAGAGGGTGTAAATTTGATTTGGCTCCCTTTCCCATGGCTTGCAACTTTTATTTACAGTAGAATAAGAAACTCCATGGTTATGATTTTCCTAATGAGCTTCTCTCGTGGACCTATACAATATCCCTTGATTCGATCTCCATCAATGTGATATGCAAAAAAAAAAATCAGAGATATAAATATAAATATCTGATCAATATATTAAAATTAGTTTACCGTAACTATTAAACATTTTAAATTATGTTATAAACTTAAAAAGACTAAGAATGTAAACACCAATAACTAATATTAATATGGAGTTTTATTAACATTGCAAACATTCTGTAACTGATATTTGCATATGAGGGTTTTAGAAGTATTTGGAATCTCCTAGATGTTTGTTAGGCATTCTGTACTCCCTCACTTGGAGGGTATTCGTTGAATTTGTTGAACTCTCTTTTTAGATTATTTTTTTCATAATCCAATTTAATCTAGCTTATGGTAATTTAGTATATCAATTTTATGCTCTGGTATTATTGGTTGATATTGGACCAAATATATTGAATGGAGTTGAGATGCACGTTTATATTATTGGGCTGAATATTACATATCAGGCTCATTTTCTTAATACTATCTTCGTCTCAGAGTATAAATAAATCTAATAAAATGAAATTTTTAAAATATTTTATAAAATAAATATAATATTAATTTTATTTAGTTAATGATCAAAGTTTATCAATTTTGACTATAAAAAGCCAAAACTAACAAATACATCAGGTAGTACTCTATACTTGATGTATTGAGTATTCTTTTTATTGTTATTGTATGATGTGATTCTTTTTGTTTAGATGTAATTCGAGAAAAACATTAAGGCAGACATGGCTATGATTCTTTTTTTCTTTGCCATGTTTGACAATTTGAAGCTAAATTGGATAGCACTTAGATTTCTTATGTTTTTTTGTTTAGTTTACATCACGATTGAATTTATAATCCAATTCGATTAACATCTTTTGTAACATTAGTAATGATACATGTGTAGAGGCAGATAACGAGCAAGTTTGTCTCAACATTCTCAACTTTGAAGTGTCTTATAAAATTTAGCCAATCTTTAGACATAGTCAATTTATGTTTCTATTTCTTGTGTGATAGATCAATAAGGATTGAAGATCTCGACTTACGATGAAGAAAACAACTCTCTCAACCACACTTCGAATGTTGTATACGGAGTATAAAAAAGTTTCGAGAATTTATGATTTTATTTTAGTTTTACTAATAACATGCACTCTTGATTGATGAAATACATTATGTGGATTACACAGGCATTTTTATACAATTGAAGTTTAGTCGCCTATCAAATTACCTGTAATAATGTGCTATTCATATTTTCCAATATGTATATTATCGGTTAATATTTTTACTTTGCATTGGACGGCTTAAAATCTAATATAAATATAAATAACTTATCAGTCGATTAAAATTAGTTCACCTTAACTACTAAACATTTTAAAGCATATTATAAAAAACTAATAATATAAATATTAATAACATTGATACGAGTACTTTACATATTTGCACAAAAAACTTTGATGTTAAGATAGAAATGAAATTATTATACCAAAAAGGCGAACACTCTGTAATTGATATTTGCATACAAAGGCTTTAAGAGTGTTCGGAATCTCTTATATATTTATTGGGCACAAAGCACTCTCTCACTTGGAAGGTGTGCGTTTAATTTGTCGAACTCTCTTTTTAGATTATTTTTTTCACAATCTAGTTTAGTTCAGCTTATTATATTTTAATTATTCTTCTTCCCCAAATTAAATTGTCCATTTACTATTTACAGTGTCAAACTCAATTTACTTCTTTTCTCTATTTTTGTTAGTCATTTGATAAAATAATATAATAATGGCATCACTAGTTTTGTAAATCTTTTTGTGTAGTTTTTAAATATGTAATTTTTATTTTTAATTCCACATCATTTTTTATATAAAATAACTTAAAAATAATTTCAGTCAAATATTGTAAATGAAACAAGTGATTTAAGGTGGGAGGAAGGAAGTATATCAATTGTGTATTATGAAATAAAATTTTGGAATTATCTATTAAAGTAAACGGCCGTTGTAATTTTTGGAATTGAAGAAGACGAACAACTCTTGTTCAGGTGACAACTTCTACAACATGATTTATCAGTATATTAACTTTAAAGTGCGTCTCTTGCTTCTAGTAACTTCTTTGCTACCCCGAAGTATTTTTCTTCAGAATTAGAACAAGAGAAATTTACCTAAATAAGACTAAAACATAATGACTTTCCCAATATAGGACCATATATTTTTATTTCTCAATGTAAGACTTTTGGTCATTATCAAGTAGTCATTATTCAAGTAAATGTCCATCATTACTGGACATTATTCCTCCCATCCTCCCACAAGGTCATTATTAAGTCCTATTTAGAAAATAAAAAAGTTTAAGTCCTACATTAGAAAAGTCATTATGTTTTAGTCCTATTTAGTGCAAATTTCACTTAGAACAATTTATACCAAAATTCTACATAATTGAGAAAGTGCTATTTACAGGAAGAATTTTGGAAAATAATATATTTCAATAAATATACTTTAGATTTTATTTAAAAAAATTAATATAAAATGCGTTAACTATGAGGAGACAATCAGATACTACGTATTTACTTTGATATTTACTTTTTTGATTAAATTGTGTCATTCTTTGATATTTATAAATGAAGTTTTAAATAAATAAATATTATAAAAAATTGATACATCACTATATTTTAAAATAAACCTAAATATATAGAATTAATATTATAACTAAATATATTTTTCCATGATTTGTTGTCAAAGTGTGAAATAATTTGACCAAAAAAGTCAAAATGTGCCTATAGTTTTAAGACGGAGGAAATGCATAACTACTCAAAAATGTTTGAACCACATGCTCGACCACTCGAGCCACTGGTATGTGAATCAGTGTCATGACCGTTTGATCCCGTTTTGAAAAGCATGGTTTCGAGCGACTCTACATCACAACGAACACTCGAGAAACTTTATCACAATGTTTCTTGTGATAGTAATATTACATTGTTGTTAACGGATATAAGGAATTAAGCTAGGATATCAATAACTTCCCACAGATTGAAGAGTTGAGTTCAAACCATTAGAGGAGATGGATGACATATGCATTTACACTTCAATCTATATATATATAAACCTAATGTTTTTTTAAGCGTCTAACAGTAAGAACTAATAAGAAGAACAAATGTACCTGTAGTTTTGGTTTTGGAGAATAGCAGAATACCGTCATGTTTCTGAAAGCTTAAGCAATGACCTATATATACCTTGGACGTTTCTTCTTCTCGGGAGTAGCATGCACCTGCGTTTTCTGTCCGTATGTCTTGAGCTGAAAGTTCTCAAAGGCCTCTGAAACCGCTCCCACCTGTTTTTTTTAAGAGAATTAAAAAAAACTGTACAGATTTTGTGAATGAAATGGGAAAATGTGTTTATTATTACGGAGTATGATATTAGTTCTCACAGACCAGATCAATTTTTTTGGAGTAAACTCGAACGATCATGTCCTGATAACACGCAGGCAACAAGTGACTGACACGGTCATCTTTGATGGGAAACTTTTCATGACTTTCGAAATCCTGAAAACGAGATACGGAGTGAATAATAATATCAATGTCAAGAGCAAAAAGAATCACCTTAGAAAACCAGATAAATCGAAGTACCTTATAAAAGTTGATGCTGGAGAAGCCGAAGGGTTGAGAAACAGCAGAAAAGAAAGCAGTTAACAGATGAGGGTTCAAAGTAATTGTATCATATGGCATTCCTACTACACGTACCGTTCGAGTGGATTTTTTCTACCGCATGTCAGGTCAATTTTGACATTAGTTACAACAATATCTTCTTCCTTTAGCATAGGCACGTTCCCATTGGAACTCTGCATGATAAGAGTAAAAAAAACCCCATTAGAGATAGCACGAGTACTATTGCTAGAACTGTAGAGGAGTAATTGTGGCAAGCAGGACCTGGGAACAAATCACATCTTGAGGGGTGACTGGTTTGAAATGGTCCATCTTCTCCTTTGGCACGGCAAATTCGTTACAGAACTATTGAACATTTTAAATATTCTTTAGGATTACCGCCTGACAGATAGCTCGGAAAAAGTATTAGAGGAGATGGTAGAGTATGTTCTCTCAAGTTTAGACCTGGTACAATTCCCTTCTACGAATCCGAAGGATGAGATCTCTGGATTCCTTCAGCTCTTGGCAAGAACTTGTTTCAATGGTTTTTACTATTGTGTCATCCAACTGCAATTTTGTTTCGGTTTTAAGAGACCGACGTTTTAAGATATTATGTAAAACAGAAGAGAAGAAAATAAATGGTCTAGGACAAGTAATAAGGATATCCGACCTGCCAATATTGAGCTGGTTCATCAATGTAGGATGCAATTTGAAGATAATCATTTGCCTTTACCAAAGCATCAACAACCATCAGTTCCATAGCCTGGAAAAAGGAAACCCCATAGATGCAGAAGCAATGGTCATAGAATAAAAATGGCAACATATTCAAATTGGGAACAAAAAAGTCTTTGTGATTAACCTTCACTTTTGAGTGCATATAGACTGTCCGGTGCAAATCAGCCCTTGTATAGAATAACTTGTGGATGGTAAGATCTGAGCAAAATGATTACTTTATAAAAACCAAAGACTAAAGATGACAGTGCCAGTCCTATCTGGTAAAAGGGACGTAACCATATACTAACATTCTTTCGCACGATAGCATATCTCATTATCAATTACGTGCATTGCATCCAAAATTCTGCGCGAGAAAGGGAAAACAGCTCTTAGGATTGCTTCTTGAGGGTAATAATTGATAGAAATTAAGCTTTAAAAAACCATTTAATTCTTAAAAATAACGGAAAAATAAAACAGTTCAACCCCTAATGATGGACTTGCAAAAATATAAAGAGTAGGACCAGGGTACAACCATTATACCTCTCAAACTGGAAATTGCAACCAAGACCACAAGCCCGGGAGTCACGGATAATATAATCAAATCTGAATGAACATAAAAGACTTGTAACTCTCAATAGCTATTGTCAATATCAAGTCGGATACAAAAAGAAGAAAAAAGCAGAAAGTTACTTGTCAACATCGATGCCATTTCTCCCATTAGCAACAATATCATACAAGAATTGCTTTTCTTTCAAGCTCTGTGTGGGAAATATTGATTAGTGAGTTAGAAATGGTTAATATGTTGTTTACCAAATAGAGGCCCCAAGAATGACTTACATTAGTTTGATTACTCTCAGAAGCAATTATCATTTCCTACATTGGTAAGAAAAGGTACATGGCAGTAAGAAGGAAACCCCTTTGAAGCTCTATCATGAAGCAATGAAGAGTACATTTGATAAAGAAACTAGAAGTCAAAAGTAAACACTATAGGAAAAGCAAATATCAGTACTCTCCAAGTATACTGGATTCCAGTTGTGATACATAGAATGGAAATGCACTCTAGCAGGAGGGCAGAAGTGGAAATAGCACAAAGACTAAAGTGAAAAGCAGAATAGCTTGAAGACACAAGCAAACCTTCACTTTTTTATGTTTCTCAGAATCAATGTCAATGTTATGTTTATCAACAATGTAGTCTATCATCTTCAAAGACATATCTTCATGAGACCTTCACAAATTTCATTTATCAGTTGAGATGGCTACTCTAAGACAAATAATACAGAACTAGTTTCTTAATGAAATTGCAGAAAAATAAGTCTGCATTACAAACAATTATTTGCCACGAAATTGATGAGGGATAAAATCACACTTGTTATATAGATAGAAATGTTTGTGATAATTTGTATACATCAAATAATAAAGCAGAACCAATGGTTCGAGAAAAAATATGAATGTAAAGAAAGCTAGTTTAGAGGAAATCCAAACACCATTTGATGGCATTAAGAACCCGAGGAAGAAATTCACGCTCAAACATGTGACTGAATGGCCCATGTCCCACATCATGTAGTAATCCTAGATACAACAAAGAAAATTATTGGATAAAGCAGCTTACCAGAAAAAAAATGTTGAAGAGAAATTAGTAGGTTACCAGCGAGTTTTACTGTCTGAACATCAAAATGATCAATTCCCAGCTCAGATCCCTAGAAAACAAAAACATATTGCACAAAGTTGGGTCGTGTGACCTTACAACAACAAAAAACAACAAGAAGAAAAAGAACAACAAAAACCCAGTAGAATCTCACAACATTAGGGTCTGGGGAGGGTGTGTTTACGCAGACCTTACCCCTACTAAAAGTAGAGAGGCTGTTTCCAAGAGACCCCCAACTCAAGCAACACAAGGTTTGTGTGACCTTATACTAAGAATAATAGCAACACATGAATATAGTCTCACTTGATTGGCTTTAAGCCTTTGTATAGTATCACTTGCCAACCAATAGACACCAATTGAATGCTCAAACCGAGAGTGCACTGCCCCAGGATAGACCAAGAAAGTAAGACCTACTCAAGAATATGACATTGTCATGATCATGCAGTATTGTAAACACATAAATCGGGATATGCAGTAGAACTAAGACAGCCACAGACTCTCACAATTAAACCATAGTTAAAGCACAAGGATAAACTTTTGATGTGACTGAAGCATCATTCTCCCAAATCCAGATACTCATTGTATAAGAGAGCCAGCTAGCTTATTACGCTAGTTCCCATCATGCACCAAGTTCAAGGCTTATGTTCTTGTCTGAATGAATAAAAGGACGTACTAGTATATCAACAGTAAATTAATCATCTAAGCACTCTATGAACCATGCTACTCAAAGCTACATATAATCAAATTTCAAAGCTAAAGCATTACTTCTTAGATACAAGTGAACATGGAAATATAAACTATTGAATGCGCACCAAGTTGCTTCAAATCTCGAAGCCTATAATACAACAAAAATAAAAACAATCAATATCTTCATTTTAAAGTGCGTAATGTGAATCAGAAAAAGAAGCGGAAGTGCAGAATGGTTAAACTTGCCTCTGAAACTGTTCTGAGTCCACAAACTTCAGAGAAAGCTGAAATTAGTTGAAATTGAAATTATTATTCAAGTTCAATAGTGTAAAACTTTTAGATTTTATAGTAGCATGCGTGCTTGTATCAATGTTGTAGCTCTTCTCAACTGTCGACTTGCATTCAATTAGTTAACATTTAAACTTCATCCATGCTTTTTATGGTAATTGTCCCATTGTTAAATGAAACAACCAATAATAAGTAACAGGATATATTCTCATTACATCACATTATTGACTTCCTCATCAAATGAGGAAATATATGATCATAACAGTTGCTTAATAGAATATTCAAGAAGACGATCCGGATGATATGTCACTTTGACAAACATATACATAAATTTTTAAACTATCTATATATTTATATACTTTCTCGATTCAATTACACCCAGCAGTTATCAGTTCTACTAAAAAATAACTATGAAAGGAAAGTGCCTATTATTTTCAAATATCCTCACTCTACTTACCAAATATAATATCCTCCTCCCACCACTTCGGAAATAAAACTAACCTAATTTAAACAATCACTGATTATGCTTTAACTCTGTCTCCATATAGCAAAACCTAAAACAGAGATTAGCTTACGCCTTAAATTCAATATAAAATATAAAAAAATGGCCAATACAACATTCATGATCGCCGGTACTCCTATTCAAACTTCTCATTTCCAATACGCTAGTCCCGTCTTCGATGGAGATTGAAAGGTCAAGTTGAGTTCAATCTCTCAGGCGAAAAACCACAGCCTCGATTTATAACAACATTCACTACTAATTTTATACATTCAAACGAAGCGGAAATTCAATATCAAATAAACGATCGAAGGCATGAAAAACCATAGATAGTGGTTCGGAGAGCCGTACAGGGTCGAGATAGATGTTTCCGTGAACGTTATCGTAGACTTGCTTCGAAAATCGCCGATCATCGGCCGGCGAGCAGTAACTGTAGCTCGGAAACCCGTCGGTGCTGCAAGCCACCATTTCTAACCCGATCACCGAGATACCGCAGCAGGGAGGTTCTAGAGAGAGAGAGAGAGAGAAAAGTTCAGGTCCCTTGTTTCAGAGCAGCGGTTAGTTTGAAATGACAGAATGCGGTTGCTTTATTGTGTTATATACTCAGACAGAAACGGAAAGGCAATAAGGCAAGTGACTTAAATTCTACGGAGTAATAAGGTCATCCAAATGATCAAAGAAAACTAGAAAAAAAGGGGAATTAAAAAATAGGGAAGAAACAAAAAAGTCCCCAATTCTAATTAATAACTTTTAGTTTCTGTTTTGCGAAATAAAAAAGAAAAAGTTTTTTTAGAACTTAAAAAATGAGGATAAAATAATTAATAAAATTAAAAAAAAAATGAACAACCTTTTTGTACATCTCAGTTCTAAGACTCATTTAAAAATTTCTTTTTGTATAAGATTCTTTTTTTACATGTTTTTATTTTTTTCATTTCATTTTTCCATATTTTTATATTTTTATTTTGCATTTTTCTTTTTGAACTTCCCAAAAAAAAAATCTAGAAAACCAAAAATCAAAATATTTAATTTTGAGATAGATGAAGTATATGTTAATTTTTTATTTTTTTAACACAAAAAAAATTGAATTTTTAAAAATTATAAAAAATTGAAAAGAAATATAAAAAACTTTTCTAGGAAAAGAAAACAAAGAGATAAAAAAGAGCTAAAAAGGGAAAAAACTAAATAATAAACAAAAAATGAGAAATGAGCACGAATGTCCCATATGGTTAAAAAAATAGGCATCAATGTCCCTTTTTCGCTGAAAAAATGACCAGAGGGTGTGTGAATACAACATTTTGAAACTACATTGACTCTGGAAATAAGTCTTGAAAAAAGATAAAATATTGGTGTCGAATTTTTAAATCATAGAGAGCATTGGAGCTATTTAGTCCTTCTATCTATGACCTTCTTTTAGTGAGGTGCAGGCCTAAATCTTGGATGCACTTAGCTTTGTTTGGAAGATGATCCCACCAAAATTTTCATTCGCCTTGTGGCTTGCGTTTCGTGGTAGACTACCCACAAAACAAAGCGTGGCTTTCATTGACATGCAACGATAATGTAATCTATGTAGTAGTGGAGTTGACTATTGAGGACTTAGCACACCTTTCTTTGGGTGTGAAGTTGCACCACAAGTCTGGTTGTGGATTCGGATTTGGCTTGGCATTAAAAAGGAACTCTCTATTTTTGCATGTGCTAAGAGGTGGATGTTTAAGTCACACAGGGTACCTATCGTTTAAAAGAAAGGAACTCTCTATTTTTGCATGTGCTAAGAGTTGGATGTTTAAGTCACACAGGGTACCTATCGTTTAAAAGAAGGCTATGCGGTTGGTTTTTGCTGCTACGATGTACTACGTTTGGAGGGCTAGGAATGCAATTTGTTTTTATCACTCCTCGCTTTGTGTTACCTTTATCATATCTAAAATAAAAGTTGTAATTTATAGTCTTATATAAGCTTTTTCCGTCGTGTATGATAGAATTTTAAGATTGGTCTATGAGCTACTTTATTTGATATGATGTTCTCTGCGGGTTTTTTTTGTTGTAAATCGTTTGATGTTTGGGGGTGTCCGTCATGTTTGTATTAATTTTTTCTAGGTTGCAATATTATTTACATGTCTCCCAAAACAAGATTCTTGAACTAGTGAAGTCAAAGTAAAATTTTAATTTGGAGATAGAGTGATAAAAAATCCTTAATATGAACAAAACTCTATGTGCTAACATGTCAGGTTTTATGTATGTTTTTAGAAATTAAACTATTTGTACACCAAAAATTATAAATTCACTTTATAACTTTATACTCCAAAGGCATGCATCAATATTTTGTTCTAGTGTAATGCTAGTGTGATAGTTTACACTAACTCAAAATGCCAATATAATTTTTTAGTAAATTAGCATTTTTTTTCTCATTGTAAACTATTAAAATGTTACTCATCTCTTTAGGGTACAACTTAGCCTCGTTTGATGTTTTTAGTGTAAAAAATAGTGTGAGAGAGAGGATTTCCTTAGCATTGCCCATGCTATCTATCCCCTCTCCCCCATCCATCTCTCATTTTTCTTTAGGAAACTGAAATCAGACTCCTTTTCTTCAAAGAATGAGCAAGAACCAAGCAGTGATCACATAAACAATCCTAAGGCTTCTTCTAATTACAACAATGAATAAGACTGAACAGAGAATGAGTGTGTGGAACAAAGGCTACATATTATTCCTAAACCAACAAGCCCAGCAGTGTGTATGCATAACAACAATGTATATGAACCAAATCACTCAATTAACAGAACCCCAAATTCTATAGATTCATAAAACTAATATAAAAAAATGGTTCTTTGATTCCACCTTCAAGGGTTCTTCACCTTAATCCTCAACTTCCTGGCGATCTTCGTGGCCCGAACATGAACCTGCCTCTTACTGGCATCGCATTGTTCAACCTCAACCCAGTTGATCACTTTCAGCAGAAGTGACTGTGGCACTTTGGGGTTCTTCATCCCTTTCTCCAGCGCCCTCTCAAGAAATCCCATGAACCAATCCCCCGCCTCGTCTTCTATCCTTTTCCCCAGCTTGATCGTGCTTGACAACGCCGCTGCTGCTTGTCCCCCATTGATGGGTTTCTTGTTCTCGTCGTTCTCAGGCTTGTGGCTCCTCGTTTCTGGGAAGGAGGCGATTGATTTGTACAGCGCGGTGGCGGTTCTCCCCTTTGATGAAGATGATGAAGAAGTGGAGGCAGAATTCCTCCTCCTCCTCTGCTCTTCTTCATCTTCCATTGGTATTTCCTGCAGAACTGGCGCAGAAGGGTGTTTGGGTTCTTGTGTTGCAGCCTGAACCGATGCGGTTTCCGCCATGGCTTGAAGAAGCTCTTGGTAGAACTCAAGAAACCGGTCGAATGCGGGTGCTGGGGATTCTTCTCTAGCAGTTCTGCTCAAGTTGGAAAACGTCCTGAGAACAAGAAAATACACATAAAAATCAGCAATTTGGAACTAAGAAAGACCAAAAAGTGTTTAAAAGATTCGATTGACAAACATACTTCAAAGACCGGACTAGGTTGTCTGCTGCCGTGGCTTCCCTTAAAGCTTGAAGGGCAACCTTCTGCGCCTTCTCCCTCTGCTGTACAGCTTCCTGCAAAAAACATTGTCAAAAATTAGCACCCTGTTTGGCATCCAAGAATTGTCACAGAACAATGTAAATCTTTCATGAGTTGTTTGGCTCCTATACCTTGCCCAAAAGGGTTAACTTTCCAGGAAGATTCATGTGCAGAGAAGTGTTGTTGTCTGCAGGGGAATCAATGCACTGAGGTTGCTGTGTCTTTAATGTTTTTGAAGCTTTGGGAGAATCTGATGCCTTCTTTTCTTTCCTTGTATTTGCAGGTGGAGACATATTCTTGTTTTCCTGTTTTTGATACCAAGAGATGAGATGGGATAATAAAAAAAAAAAAAGGTAAATTTAGCACTTAAACATAATGACTTTATCTAAATATCATTACATGTGTTTTTTTCCAGTGTAACACTTTTAGTCATTATCCATTAGTTATTATTCAAATAAATGTTTAGAGAATAAAATAGTCTAAGTGTTATTTAGAAAAAATGACTTAAGTTTGATGCTATTTAGTGCAAAAATTTCATAAAAAATGTGCAGATATTGAGAGAGATAAAGAAAGAAATGTGTGACTTTTTCTGTTTGGGGTGGAGAAAGGGCAAATGACCAAAATCCAAAAATGCCCAAATGATCACAAATGAGAAAAATGTACCTACAGCTGAGGGTAAGGGGCTGCTATTGGAGGAGATTCTTGATCCAATGCGGTTGTTCACGCTTCTGCTCCGGCCAAATTTCATGGCGGCCGCCGCTGCTGCCGTCACCATAGGTGTGGCTGTGAAGCTCTTCCTAACCAAACCAGGGCTGCTGCTGATTTCCCCCTTGACCTCCGCAAATTTGGACACCAACCCTCCTCCGCCGCCGCCAACCACCGCCACAGACGACCTCAAGCAACCTCCCTCCTTCCCGGCCCTTCCCCGAGTGACAGCCGGAGACTCGCCGGCGCGTGAACATTTAGATCTCTCCTTTATAGGCGTGCACTGATCGAAATCCAGCGGCAATGGTTTCAGAACCTGTGGCGATTTCCCAACTTGCCCCCAAGAACCCCTTCTGGGGGCAGAGAAACTGGGGTTCGGTCTTTTCTCCCCTTTCTCCCTCAACCCCATCAGCGGCTCCGGCGTCCCCAACAGTGGGTGTCTCCCCGGCAACGGCTTTGCCCCTTTCACGACCGGGACCGGAGACCCATTCTCGAGCCGGTCAACATATATGAACTGCCCGAGCTGCATTTTGTTGCTGAGAACCAGATCGTCTTGCTCGAAGGGAAGGCTGACGTAGATGGAGTGAGAAGAATCGGAGACCTTTATATAAAACCCGTGTTTCGGCCACAGATCCTTCTCGTCGAGATCCGCCGGAACTATGTCCGTCACCTGCAACAGGGAGCTCCGGTGCTCGCTCGTCGGCTTCACCCCGGATTTCATCCCATCCAATAGCTTCAACAAAACCCCAGGAGCTAGAGCCGCCATTGTACTGTAAATCTCAATCAAGAAACTCAAATCAGCAGAAGAAGATGTCTGGATTTTCAAGAAAACTACGGATCTGGGTAGATCGTGAAATTAAAAATCAAGATGAGAAATCGATCGATTCTGATTCAGATTTCATTGAGATTTTGGGGTTATGAATGGGGTGATTGAGTGGAGAGGGAGCTGGGTTCAAACGGTCGGAAAAGGGTAGACGAAGGGCATGGTAAATTTAAATCTAGAATTGCGGGACGTTATAGTAACGGTCATAAACATGATGGTGGGTCCCGGGTCTATGCTTTTAAATTTATTTCACCTTCGTAATATGTGTACTTTTCTCCCCATGTAGCGGGTTTTGGGCCATAAAGCCCTTCTAGTATTCTCTTGGTCTCTCGCAGTTAATATACTCCGCACCAAGTACTGTCTTCGTCCTGAAATATTCGTCCAATTTTGACTTTTGGAACTGTTTATCTAAACACTTTGACTTATCAAATTCTCTCAACGTATAAGCCTAAATATACTCATGTGTGATCTTGTTTGATTTGTCTTAACATATAGATTATTAATATATAATTTCTATAATTTTTTAATATACAAATTACAAGATAAAATGAATTAAAGAAGTGTATTGGATGATAATTAAAAATAAAAGTGGACAAATACTCTGAGACGGAGATAGTACATCATTATCTTTCTTAAAAATTTGCCCAGTTTTAATTTTTTTAATTAAAATTGATGGATTTAATCCTCTATTAAATGAAATTTAAATTCCATATTCATACAAAATTAATACTATTATATTTTTTCAATAGTATTTTCATAACAACCATATCTTATCAATATACTCCCTCCGTCCTCTTGTATTTGTCCACTTTCATTTTTACACACTATCAAATACACTTCTTTAATCTATTTTATCCTTTTTCTCCTTCCGAAAATAAAGTTTACATTTCTAATTTTAACCCATACTCTTCCAAAAATACCCCTCTACCTTTCTTTTTCTTCTTCTTTTCCTTCCTTAATCTTTATCTTTTCCCCCACCGTTCCTTTCTATTCTCCACCGCACCTCTCTCCTTATCTTCATTCTCTCTTATCCTCACTCTTTCTTCTCTCTTTTCCTTCTCCTCCCAGCGCCCCATTTTTTTCTTTTCTTTTTTTCTTCTTTCTCTTTGTGTAGATCTGACTTCTTCTTCCTCATCATCCTTCTCCATCTTTCTTCTATATCTAAACAGATCTGTAATCTCACAGAGATGGGGGATGGCGACGAAAGTGCTAGCAGTGATGGAGGGCCGGCGGTGACAGAGTTCTGGCGGAGATGGTGTGATTGGCAGCGGTGGTAGGGTTGTGGTTGTGATAAGGGACGAATCGGAGGCGATGGGGGGCAGACCTGGCGGTGACGACGGAAGTGCTATGGCAGTGATGTTGAAACTAATGATTATGGTGGGGGATGGCCCCGTGACCCGTTCCGCTTTCAATGAAATCAGGGATCACCAGTTCCAATAAAAAAAACAGCCTTAGGCGAAGACAAGAGTACTCCACGGGGATAAGGGGCCCCCGGGTAGAGTTAAGTTTATAGGATGAATTACGATATGGCTGGAGGGAAGCAGAAGTAGCTCGAGCCAAAGGCGACAGCGAGGCCCCCAGCAATGGGGGGAAGCGGGCTTCTTTCACTTGCGTTTTGGAGAGAGCCGGCCTACGAATTGATTATCGCCGTGCACGATTGGGAATAAAATCAAAGGGACTAGCGGACTTTTTCATATCGTCGTTAGTTTGCTTTGGTTTGGCT